GAAATAGTTGAGAGCTGATGGAGCAACCAGATGGAAAATGGTCCATGCTACTATTCTTTGCAGACTTTGCACTGTAGCTCCAACAATGTGGGAAAAAGAATAATGAGGAAAATCAGAGCAGGAAAAATTTCCTAAATAGTGCAAAAAAAAAGAAAGCTCTGCTTTCTTAAAGATTAAAATCCGGTCAAATATATGTGACATCTGAGGCTCAGGGCCGTTAGTCTGACAAACAATCAGCCGTGCAAATGTGCTGAAAATGTGCTTCTGTTAAAGCCATTTAACAAAGTCAGCTGATGTCAGCCACTACACTGCATTTCACTTGCAAATCTCTGAAAATAGAAATAAAGAGCAAAGCTAACGACCTTACCTTGGCTGCTGATGAGGTGCTGTTCATACTGACCACTGCTGATGAAGCAGCCACTGGACAGAAAAGAGCATCATAAGGATATAGGATGCTCTTATAACCTTTGAAACAGATCATTCTCAATCCAGATGAACTTTATTTTTATCATCCTTTATTTATCCAGATAAAAGCCTCATCGAGATTAAAAACTATTTTTCAAGCGATACCTGGTCAAGCCAGAGGGAGCGGGACTTTGTTAGTGCAGCTGAATAAATTTTAGAAGTAACTGACACACAGTCATGCTTTTTAACGTGTGAGTGTGCTGCTTACTCAGTGCACAAAATGTAGCCGTCCTTAGCACATCCATCTGTGCAATCACGTGAAATATGTTAATGCATTTTTGCTTTTGTGCAATTTTTTTGCTATATTCAATAAGACTGTATAATATGTCCCTTAACTAAGAGTCTAATTCATTTAGAATTAAATGGAATTTCAACGTTTTTCACCTAAAATTCCAGCATAATTAAATTCACCTGGTAATAAAAATAATTCTAGGTAGTGCATAACTAGGAATGTTAAAGGAAGTGAGACACAAATTAGACTGAAAGTTATATTAGGAAGTGCTATAAAAATCCAAATTCCCAACTAAAGTTTCCTGATTAGGCGATGTGCTGACAGGCAGTTTTATTGATGAGATTTGGTCAGCTGTGGGTCTGACTGTATGTGATGACGCTGATGCTTCCCGGGTGATGAGTAAATTCCAGTCTCAAGGGCAAAGACATGATATCTGAGTGAATCAATCAGTTCTGCTAAACCAAGCACAGAATCCACCTCCTTCAGCAGGTTATAGAGCAGTTATAGGACACACACACACACACACACACACACACACACACACACACACACACACACACACACACACTCAGAGCTGGGATCTTTGATGCACATAATATTAGCTTTAGTCAAGAGGTTAAAGGTAAAAATTAAATGTGTACTTGTTTTGATATGTATTTCCTTAAATGAACTAAAAAGCATAATTTTTTTTAAAACTGCTCATCCAACTGTCCCAGCTGACATTTGGTGTCAGGTGTGGTGTAATCTAGACGGTTTGGGCAAGTACAATATAATAACAACAAAAACACTGTCTATAAAATAGGCAGACAAAAAGCAAATCTTTAGACTTTAGATATATCCAAAGTTATAGAGAATGCTAAGACATAGGCAGGTCAGTACACTCAGCAGGAAAATCATACTGAGCATCTGAATGAGTAGATACTGACTAAGCAGCTGGCATTAAATGCAGGGTGCTTATTGATTACACAGTGTTAGGTCCTGCAAATAGACTGTATTTATTGGCACATTAGGAGGCTGTGTCCAGAACACCATCATAACAGATATGTCAGCAGCAAGGGACCAAAAGGGTGCTGACATATTTCTTTCCATCAACATGTTTCACCGTGATGAAATTATGAGAGCATCAGAGGAGTATTACCCATGAGGGTTCATTGTGGGCACGATGCAGTCATGCAGCATCTATCAGACTGAGCTCAGAGGTTTATGGTTTTTATCAGCATAACTCAAAAGACGGGTCACGTGTCCTAAACCGATGCGCTTTATTTCTTTGCAGAGAGACACCAGAGGCCAGTTCCTGTTGGACCATGTGTGCAATCACTACAACCTGCTTGAGAAAGACTACTTTGGTATTCGATATGTAGATCCCGAGAAACAAAGGGTAACTATGATACACACACACACCTGTCCGTGCACACTGCACACACCATAACCATGGTATCTGTTATCATTTTCATTACCAATTGAGACTAGTTTGTACAAAGGATCAGGAAAAGCCTGTCATTTATTCCCAGAGCCCAGATCTTTTGTTTGTCCAAGTGAAGCCAAACTGAGGTGGGGACATTAACTAGATGTGGATTTATCAAACCAAACATGCATTTTCCTTGTAAAACCTAAAATAAAAGTTGGAAACACTAATGGTAAAGCATAAAGGTGTTACCAGAGTTTTCTTCTTTACCAGAGGAGTGATCACAGGACCTACACAGCCGGTCAGAGCAACGCTTATATTTAGAGAAATGTATGTTTATGAAAAGTGCTTTCAAACCGCATTTTTTACTTTTTACTGAAGACTTCAGTCTATAAGTATGTGGTTAGTTTTCCAACAGCCACATCTTAGTAAAGTGGGGATTTATGCTTCTGCTGAAAGTCTGCTTCATAACCACAAAGCCCTCTGAAACACTGTGCCTACCCTACTGTTCAGCATCACTGATTGCTCATGTGCATTTCTGGCTACTTTTTTGTAATAGTTTTTGAATCTATCAGTGAGAGAATAACATTTATCATCTCAGTACTAAGGATAACAATATATATCAATATAACGACTCACAAATGTCAGCAGATACCTGGACGGAGAGTGCTATCGTAACTGACGTAGGAGAATGTGAAAGGAAGTGGAAAAACCAGACCCTGGGGGCACAAGCACAAGCATAAATGCCGGCAACGACGTCTGCCACGTCGTAAGGTTTAAAAATATACCAGCAGAAGTCTAAATCAGGCCTAAGGTGCAGCATCTTTTTCTCTGTAATCTTTGAGGAGTCTCCTTCCTCTAAATCTGGCTGCTCTTTTACCCCGGCTAACAAATTCTTCTCCTCAATTTAGAAATTCCACTTATACACAGCACTCAGCTCATTACGGCAGAATCACACCTACTAACAGGAAACAGTGGCAGTGAGTCAGCACAGGCAAAGTATGAATGTTGAATATCAGTCTGGAAGCAGCTGATACATTACATTACAAGTTCAAGTGCCAAATAATAACAAGATCAGTCTCCATATTTCAAACAGCCCACACAAAGAACAGACCAGACGCTTGATCGTAGCAGAAGCTCAGCTAGACTGTTTTTTTTTCTTAATGCAAAGCGAGGAAAGAAAAATAAGGGAAAATGTGTTTTAAGACAAACTGAACATGCAGTGTCATGCAGTCCAGAAACTGTAACATAATACTTTGAATTGTATGCTTTTGACAGTAAGATGGATCAAAAAGGTCAAATTTGGTTCTATTCAGGAATCTAAGATCATCATGTCTCCCTAAATCTCTAAATCAGTCTCTTAAAGTAATAATGTAGTAATAATCTTTTTTATGACAGTTTAAAATACCAGAGATCTACCAATGATACAAATTAGATTTTCTAAGATAATTTTTGAATTAGCTCTCAATCCAGTCCTGTAGTTTCTTTAGTATAAATTTGATTATTTTAGGGTAACATTTTTGGTCTTTCTCTCTTTTTCAGCACTGGCTGGAGCCCAATAAACCCGTAGTGAGGCAGATGAAGTGTGAGTGCCCTTTCTGTTTCCATTTCTGTGTCAGCATGTGTGTATACAGATGCAAAGCATCATGCATGTGTCTGTGTATTTGCTAGTGTGAGTGTGTTTTCTTATGCCGTGCATTTGTCTCAGAGGGTCACTCTGGTGTGAGGGGTCAAGCATGGCAAACAAGCCGACACCACCACAGGGACTCTAACAAGGCCATAACATCGTACGCGCAACATTGTTAAAGTGACGGGATAGGAGTACAAAAAAATCAGTTTGTTATTAATTAAAAACAGATACATTTTATTTGTTTATGTAATAATAATTTTAAAAAAACCCATTTAGATCATCTAGGTTTAAGAGTTTTATCACCCACCCACCTGTGACAGAGTCAGGCAATGTTGGACATGAGTTTTTCCTCTGAAGTCCCGCAGGGAGACCAATGGAGACACAATGAAGACAGACAAAGTGACAAGAGAACTGTTTCTCAGAAACACAAAAAACTGCCAGAGGGACAAGTGGCCTAAAAAGGAAAAAAGTCACACGTTGCAAAGACGTTGCAGTGGAAGACAAGCTTATGAGAGTACAAAAACAAGTAAACAGCCTGCCTGCCTTATGTGCAGGCCTCATTCAAAGCTTCATAACAATCACCACAAACCGGAAAGATATTTTTACTTTCCATCTCCAGAAAAGGATGCAGATTTTATCTGATTACTTTATTTGTCTGTTTTGTTGTCCCATTTTTGACTATTCTGTTTGTTTAACAAGTCCTTAGGATAATGCGATGTAAGACAAAATTCATTTTCTGGATGTATCCATGTAAGGTTTACCGAAATGAAATATGCAGTGACATAGGTGCACGTATACAACACCTCATTAATACAAATATCTAATGAACCAATCACATAGCAGCATTTAGGCATGTAGGCATGCTCAAGACAAGTTGCTGAAGTTAAAATCGAGCTCTAGCCTATTACACATAGAGACACTGAACCATCAACACTCACATTCACACCGATGGGCAATTTAGAATCACCAATTAACCAAACCCCACTAGCAGCAGTTCTCCGGGCAAAAATTCTTTGTTAATGTCAGATGCGACTAATTTGAGGTGATAGGAAGGGAACTCAAATAACCGCTAGTGAAACAATCTAAGCAGAAGAGCATCTCTGAGCACACAACATGTTTATCTTAGAAGCACATGGGCTACAGCAGCAGAAGATGCCTTTCCTTGACCCTTCCTATCTTCTGGAAACAGGACACTGAAGCTAAACTAAACTAAAACGACAAACTCAAAGAGAACTGGGGTTGTACCTGGTGTGGTCTGCTGCTGCTCTAGCACTGAATACTACTTCTGTCAGCTAAGATTAGGAAACTGGGGCTACAATTTGAACGAGCTCACCAAAATTGGGCAGTAGAAGATTGAAAAAATGTTGCCTGATCTGAGGGGTTTTAATTTCTGCTGCAACAACACTGACATGGTAGGGTAGAATCTGGAATAATAATATCTTTCATCATTGTGAGTTTTAAATCCAGTAGTGCAATATGGATGAAAGTTAATAAAATTGCATGAAAAATTAAGCATGTTTTGAAAACAGAAGAGTCCATCACAGTACCCAATAAAGTGCATGGGTGTGTTTCACCCTCAAAGAGAAAACAGATTCACTTAAGGAAACGAGAAGCGATGGAGACACAAACACACCAGATTTTTTTTATTTATTTATTTTTACCAGGAAACTGCAGCTCTAGTTGTGTCTGGGCTTCAGTTTTGCTCAATGTTTATTGTTGTTTATACTTGTTCCATTTGATTAGGTTTCATGGCTAACCTTTCTATTTGGCTTTAGGGAAAGGTCAAGTTTTCACATTTTCAAGGTCACCAGAGTGGCATTTAATGTGTCCCTGGAGGCCACTTTTACGTTGTAATAAGAGTTACACAAACAGCCCGAGGGGTTGTTTTCAAGCTGAGCACAGCCTCCTTTCCCCTCTTGATGTTTGCCTCTGATAGATTTGGCCAATGTTTTTTCAGTATAACTATAATAACCTTGAGAATGTGACACATATAATCATACAATCTAAGTACCCTAAAAGAGGACACAATACAAAGGTGAATAAGAGAGTGGTACTTGTTTTCACCTTTGTTTTCCTTCGTTTCCACTTACTCTTTCACATCTTTACATTTCTATCTTGTGTTGAAAGATTGCAGCGGCTTTCCTCCGACCCTCCTTTTCTTTCTGTGTCTCAGTCTGAAGTTCACTAACCCTTTTAATGACTGTCCTGTTCTTTCTGTCCTGTTATAAATTAATAAAAGAGCTATTAGCGAAGTATTCTGCTCCATCGGAACATGTGTGAGATGACAGAAGGGGGAGGCTGAGGATATCAGTGAAAACTGGAAGGGAGAGAGAGGGAACAAGGGGGGAAAAGTACTAAAAAGAGACAGTGATAGATAACGTAACTAAAGAAAGAAGAAAAATAGAGCGAAAAGAGGAGATTGGAGAGACGGTTTGAGATGAGAGAAGCTGACAGAGTGAAAGAAAGAAAACGAGATTAGAGGGGAGTTGTTGAATAGATCTGAGTTGCACTGACACATCAGTTCCCTGTGGCAGGATTTACTCCCAAATTAGGTTTCAATGTGTGCGTGCACTTGTGTTTTATTTCGTCTTTGTGCATCCCAGCTTACGTACGTTGGCAAACGTCACATTTGCACGGCCATGTCTTTCGCGCACAATTCACTTTCTCTACAATGTTTTCCAAAAAAAACTCTTCGTCCCTTAAGCTTGAGAAATAATTATAAGCAGCTCAAGTTCTTTGGGAGCGGGTGGGAGGATTGGCTCTTTCAAATAGCTCAGCATGTATTATGTAGATGTGTGCTGTTTTTCATAGCTGGATAATACCGCAGAGGATCCTGCCATTAAAGGGAGAGTGGTGAGGGCACTCTGGATGATTTCTATCCCATGTGAAATGATACTTTCTTCCTCCTTGATGTTGACTTCAGAATGCCTATCAGATACTTTTGCATCTTTGTTTTAAGCGTCTCTTTGCCTCATCCTCTTTGAAATCTCTCCATGTGCACTCAAAATAACTCACATGTGCACGTGTGTAAACTTCGCCTGTGAGAACAGCAAAGACAAAACAACTCCTTCATTTTTCTAAGATTTGTAGCGTATGAAGCACAGGTGATTCAGCTGTTATGTTGGATTTATTTCTCGTGGTTTAAATGTCTTTCTGTAAACCATCCCTGCTGTTTTGTAGCTGTTAATTATATAATAACATATATATATTTTTTTCATCTGCTGACTTTTTAGTCTATAATCACCCAAAGAAGGTCAAAGTTTCCATTTCTTTTTTTTCATTCCCTTTTCCCAAGTTTCATTAATAGCCTTCAACACTTTGTCACTAGCAAAGGCCTGAACCCGGAGGCACATTTATGGATATGAACTTAAAAACCCCCAAACTTTCAAATATTAGCTTTCAACATTCATGTGTCAGAGAAGGCAAATTCGAGGCTACAGACCCTCTATAATGGATATGGACCCCGTGGCGTCTGTAACCATAATATTAGATTTTCTGACATAGTTCACAGGCTACAATTTTTTCCACTCTCAAAATTGGCAAAGAGTATCCTCAAAGCAAGCAAATGTAGAAAACCACAAAATTGGATTGATTGTGTCCATCAGAAAATTCAAATTGCAAAGCTGCCACACAGGAAGTGACATCAAATCTCCGCAATGCTTTGATCTACGCTTTGAACCAAACATGGAGTGAAAATTTTATATCGAGCAAACAAAATTCTGGCATTTGATCACTAGATCCTCAGACCAAAGCTATCAGTTAACTGTTTAACTGTAAGTAAGCGCCAAAGACACCAAATGGGAGTTGAGATGGGTAAAGGGTCCTTTAAGATGTTTTATTTCTTTAATAACCAAAATAAAATAAATTCAGACTTCAAAAAAAATCTTATCTGTGCTATTTTCACTTCAGGAAGTGTAAATTATTTATAATGCATTATATACAATTACTGTATATAATTAAATCTGTTGCTGTGTATGATGGTTTCCTCTCAGTGTTTCGGTGTTTTGGTGTTTGTATATCTTGTAAATGTTCTAACTTCACAGGGTAAACATTGAATGTGTTTATAAGCAGATGAGCTGTGTGAGACTTCAGGAGGGAGTTGAAGCTATCGCTGTCATTTGATCCAAACCCTTCAGCCTGTTATTGAGTATATGTGTGTGTGTCTGTGACCGCTTATGTAACCTTGTGTATGTATGTTACGGTGCATATTTAAATACTATTCAAAGCACAAATCCTCTCCTAGAGATATGAAATGCTTTAGGACTCAGATCAAAGGAGAAGAAACAGACCCCAGTTCAAGTGAAGCACATGCCCATGTGTGTGTGTGTGTGTGTGAGAGAGTAATTACTGTAATTATGAGGTGACTAATCAGTATTGGAGACATGCTGTGGTTTCTGTTTTTGTCCCCAGCTTCTTCTTCTACATAATCTTCATGGCTCCTCTGTCCTCTCTTCCCCTCATTTATCTTTCCTCTTCTTTCCTCTTCTTATCTGTTTCTTAAAATCTTCTACTTTCCTTCTGATTCCCTTTATCATATCTGTCAAGCTTATCTCCTCTTTTTTCCTCCACGTTCTAACAGCCTTTTAACTTTCCTTACAGTTTCTGGTCTCTCTTAGTTTTTCCATCTCAACATCGTGTCTTTCTTGTCTCCAGCAGCTCAGCAGCCGTACACGATGTGCTTCCGGGTCAAGTTTTACCCGCATGAGCCAATGAAAATCAAGGAAGAACTCACCAGGTAAACAAGCACTGGCAATGGCGTATGAGTGACAGAGAAAGAAGGCAGGCTGAGAGAAAATGTAAAGTATTTCAGAGGATTTTCATGGACAAATATCTCTAGAGAGAGGAGTTGAAAGAATTGAAAATATCCAGTGAGTGGAAGTCAATATGAAACAAAGCCTCTGAAAAATGCATTTGCCATGCAGAATTAAGGAAAGTCCAACTTGGTACTAGCAAGCTATACCTAATAAAAATATGTTAGTGACAGATGAAGACATTTGGCTAATTTTGTCTGACTGATTTGTCTAAAAACAGACTAATATATGACTTATAAAACTATTTCAGTATGCGTTATTAAATGTTCTCAAGTGATTGATTACTTAAAGTTGGGCATTGACTGAACACAGTGCAAGCACACCGGTGTTATACACTGAGCCAGACGTGAAGGCTCTCGAAACTGTAGATGAGCCCATGAAGATACTATATAAGTAAACAAACTAAATAAAAGATTTGGAGAGAGTCTGCTCCACCACCAGCACCACCTCAGCCAAAACAGAGCCAAACACACAAAGCTTCTCTCAGGCGCGGTGATAATTAGAGACACTCACCCAGCAGGGACTTGTGTTCTCTGCCCTACGTCTTACCAACTCTGCTTCTCTTTATCAGTCCTAATTTTCTCTTCAATTCCTCCATCCATTCACTTCCATCCTTTTTCCTCTCTGCCTTCGCTTGTTTTTTTTGTCTTTCCGCCCCCAGTGTCTCCTCCCTTCCTGCTGTCGATCGTTCTTCTTCCTCACTGTCATCTCCCCCTCCACCCTCAGGTGTCTCTTCACACCTTTCAAGTCAAGTTTCCGCGTCTTTCTGTCCTATATTTTTGTCTTGAGATATTTCTGGAACCCATCCCTCTTTTCTTGCCTAATTTCAACTTAGCTGAATTCTGCTTCAGTTTTTCTCCAGATGTATTATTTATTAGCTCTTCCTCCCTCTGAAAGAGCTGCGTGTCCATTTCTGTTCATTCACGTGTCCTAAAGAAACAAACAACCTCTTCTTAGAGTCCTAAGGAAAAGCATCACACTGGCACACTACTTATAAGTTTGAAGTGGAAGATGAAGTTGAGATGAGTCGGAAAAGTTCAGAAGGAAATGCATTCAGTAATAAAATCCTGTCGAGTTCTCAATATGGAGTTATGTCTGGGAGCAATTTTTTTCCCATCATCAAAATCCCCAAACTTTTAATGGTAAAATGTGCCTGCTCCAGTTTGTAAGATGTAATTTTAACTCTTGTATGTGAAGCACTATTGAAGATAGATGAAAAAGTTAACCCACTGTTCTATAGATCTGTAATTATTGATTATGGTATTAGGTGTTTGGTACCTCACATTACAGATATTAATTGCTAACAGGTGTAATTTTGAGGATGGCAGAAAAGTGCATAGGGACTTCTTTTTTTTTTTTTTTAATTAAATATGCAGTTCAGAGTTCACCAAATGCTGACTGTGTGTCTCTGTTCATTTTCATACACAGATATTTCACAGTGCTGGAATTAAAGGGCAAAGTCAGCACTTACTCGTTATCTAAGGATTTTACAGAGTCAGGCTGACTATATTACTTATCTAGCCAATATAACACACATGAGTAATTTTAACATTACTTGTGTAAAAGAATGCACTCACATGAAGAAGTTTGACATGTTTTGTCAATTATTTATACTATATTGACATTATTCATTCATACTTGCAAACTAAAGTATATAAAGGTGCTCTTTTTGTAGAATTTAAATTTATCTCGGACATTTATCTTCATGCAGAATAACGACATCATTTCTGTGTTTAAGTGTGCACCAAATCTTAATCTGGATTTTTCTATGCTTAAGTCATTTAAGAAACCTGAAAAGCAAATCTGTGTACGCAGACATTCTGACTCAATGTCCTAAAATAAGAGGCAGCACAAAGAAAGAAAAATTATCTAAATGTAGATCATGGTGTTTATTTATAGAGTCAGCAGCACTCTGACTCTATAAATAAAACTATTTAGCTACAGCAGCAGGGTTTTCGCTCCATTCAATCTTTTATGCTTTGCCTCTCCTGTGTCTTTCCCTCAATGAAAAACAAGTTTGATGAGTCAGTTGACTCAGTGGTGACGTCCCAACTGGAAACTCATCTGTTCCCCACTTTGTTTTTGTCTTCACGCTAACACGAGACAAGTCTGCATGTCAGTAGCACTGAAGGTGTTTCCATAGTAGCTAAAGTACCACATTCTGCTGGTGAAGATGTATGTTGCCATAGTTATACTTTCCTTAACTACCATGGCAACAGTTTCAGATTGTTACTTTCTCATTGGATGGTGAATTTTCATCCAAACTATTTGGAAATAGAAATTGTGAAAGCGGGGTATTGGTTCCCCTTCATAATGTGAGCAGTGGCTTTATATAGTATATTGTAATTAAACGTCTTTTATTTATTTGATTTATTTTAAATAAAAATCTGTATTTATGCTATAAGAATTTATTTCTGTAACTTTATGCATGCATGTGCATCCAGGTATCTCCTGTACCTTCAGTTGAAGAGAGACATCTATCATGGTCGTCTACTGTGTCCTTTTGCTGAAGCTGCATATCTGGGAGCCTGCATCATACAGGGTGAGGACTTACTCATAGTGGATGTATTAGAGATGTAGCCAATATTTCACAATTACATCCTTGGTGACATGTTGGAGTTTTAAATGAAAATCACACATATACATTTACACAATTTAATTTGTAAATTATAAGGGCTGCTATTACTGAAATGACTGAGCTGCTTGGGTTGTGGCTGTAATAAGAATAAGAATAAGAATAAGAATAAGAATAAGAATAAGGATAATATTTTCTAGCCTTTTCCAGAATGCACATTTGCAAAGTGCTTCATAATTTGAATAGAATGAACACATCAAATTAAGTTAAGAAACTGTAATTACAAATTTGAGTTACGGTGCCTGAGCTGTTGACTCTTGACAATGAAATCTGTAGTCTGTAGCCTCAAATCAAAAGTAATCAGCTGAAGTCCAAAAGCACAAGCTGTAAAATAACTACTAACAAATCACTGTTTGTGCCTGCAAATGCATTTATTTCCTTATTTAATCCATATTTATTTAAATATTAAATTAATTAAATTAAATCAAAATTTGAATATAGTCCCAAATCACAACAACACTAAGATAATACCAAGAAAACAGAGAAAACCTCAACGATGATATGACCCAATATAAGCAAGGGCTTTGGCAACAGTGGGAAGGAAAAACTCCCTTTTAGCAGGAATAAACCTCAGTGAGAGTAGGCCATCTGACATTATCCGTGGGGGTGAGGTGGAGGAGATACTGTTTATTGATTGTAAATATCCATCTACCCACCAACACCACACTATCTAATGCTAGTTTGTCTATCTGATGTTTTTATCATCAGTGCTTTTTAATGTCATTTATAGAAAATCACTGACAAACACAATTTTAACATGTAAAATCAGATATATCAACTGTAGTCCACATGTTTGCGGGTTTATCATTTCTTCATTAAGCTTGAATAAACAAGCTCATTGCAAAGAACAAACATTTAGGAAATTTAAAAATTATGCCAACTAAAAGTAAAATACCTCTTTTAGGTTACTGAAATAACTTTATAAGTCAAAGTGATGTTTTAAGTTTGTTTAATTCAAGATTTCTATTCTGAAATACCCATGTGCTTTTTTTTAAATTTACATTTTACTGATTTATAAATACTTGTCTTATTCAAGCATTTAAAAAGTTCAGCTAACTGTCATTACTATGTATAGTTAGTCTGTTAATCTAGCGTTACAGAATTATAGTTTTAAATTTGAGCATCCTCTTGCACTGTGTTGGGTAAAATTCAACACTCATTTAATTTAATGTGCTTAACTGTGTATTTGAACCAAACAATGATCTTACCTAATTATATCAAATGTAATTGAACTTTCATCCAACCTCTGTGTAACCACAGTCTAACCCCTGTTTGACTAAGTTTGTCCTCATTAACCGGCTGCATTTCACAGCATCACACTGTCATTATCCTACTTTTTTTTTTAAAGTAGATGTATGTGGACTACTGGGAAAAGGAATAGAAGAGATTTTTTTCTACAGTCAATTAAACGTAACCGTTTAATGCTGAATCACAGCGCAGAGCCACTTGCTTTAATATGGATTAAGAAAAGAATTAGCTGGGCTTTATCATATAAATGAACCCTTGTGGCTCATACACAAATCCTTGAACTGTGCTAACACCCTCTGATTGGCTCATATCCCCAGAGAAGAGAGTGTGACTGGTTCACTTATCTCAAAACAGAGCATGTCTGCAGTGTATCATTGGCTGCTCTGATTAACTACGACAGGTCTCTGTCCTACTTTGTCAGGGTGTTGATTATAGAGCTGGGGAATAGTTTGAGGATTATTGTTTAATTAAACTCCAGGCAAGTTTTTGATTAAACCTTTATAAAGATACTTAATTAAGATATCATTAAAAAAAATAAATTAGTGGATTCAATGAGCACAACAATAATCTGTTATTTGAGTCAATTGCTCATAAGTATCTTATTCTGTGGAAATAAAAATAAATAAATAAGGGAAAGATCTGTCTTTGGGCCTTTGTCTTAATTTGAGCAACCAGGAAATTTGCTGATGATACAAAGCTGTTTAATATTACAGCGGGCATTTTGTACTTGGTGCTATACGAGCTTTCTATTTTTCTGTGGGGGAAAACTGGAAGTTTTTTAACCCTAACTGTTAATATGGTCGTAGCCAGAGCAATCGTGGCTCAAGAGTTGGCAGTTCGTCTTGTAATTGGAAGGTTGCTGGTTCGGACAGTCTCGGTCATTGTGTTCTTGGGCAAGACACTTCACCCGTTGCCTACTGGAGGGCCCGGTGCTGCCAGTGTCCTGCAGCCTCGCCTCTGTCAGTGCGCCCCAGGGCAGCTGTGGCTACAATGTAGCTTGCCATCACCAGTGTGTGAATGGGTGAATGACTGAATGTAGTGTAAAGCGCTTTGGGGTCCTTAGGGACTGAGTAAAGCGCTATACAAATACAGGCCATTTACCATAGCCGTTAGTCCAGCCACCCGCTGCACTCATGGTGTCACAGCTATTCTAACACTTTACACACAAATACAAAACAGGCATGTGACCATGCCTAATAATAGCTTGCAGTCTATAACTGTTCTGACCCAGCCATTTGCAATCCTACAATATAAATATAGAAGCAGTTGCATGTAAATGGAATAAGTACTATAAAATTAAAGTTACAAATTATAAGCTTGCTTAATATGCAACGTTCAAGTTGAGTAAAGCTTATTTGCAAAATAAAACATGTCTTTCTTTATTTAATTTTGCTTTACAATGCAGTTTTTATGTTAACCTGAGCAACATGACTACTAACTGTAGCTTCATACTATATATGCAGTCAAGGTGTGTTAAATTAGTTCTTTCAATAAGTTAACAAACAATGTATACCCATTTCCTGATGTATTTGACCTATTTTCAGATAATATTTTTACTGAAATCACCCTTTCTCTTTATAGCTGAGCTTGGGGACTATGACCCAGAGGAGCACCCATCAGACTACATCAGAGACTTCAAGCTGTTCCCTAAACAATCCCTCAAACTGGAGAGGAAGATAATGGAAATTCACAAGAATGAGCTCAGGTGAAAGACTAATATCTTTTTTTTGTCTCGTGGTTTTGCTGTTTGTCTGGAGAAGGCTTTTTTGGTCTATTGTGGGCTTTTTGGGGGTATTGTTATCACCTCGCCAGGCAGACAGGCAGTGTGTACAGCCAAGTTTGTGAATGTGATAACTCGATGATAAGGCAATGTAGGATTTTTGAATTAATTGAGCTTTGGCGCAGCTACTTTTTTGAAGATCTTGAGAACACAATAACAAGGTGATGAAGGAGTTGCACATTTATACCATAGGTGCATCTACTAGGAGGCTGAGGGATAGCACTAGCGGCCGCCAGTACTTTTTTATTGTTGTACCGTTTGATGTTGGTGGCAGGTGCTATGCTCACTCCTGTGATCTGTGTTTTAAAACAGGCTGCTGAGACAACTGTCTACACAGCAGACAATAAAATGCTGCCTTTCTTTCTGGTTAGATACAGAATTGTGTGATACCCAGAGATTTAAGCTTCATTGTACTGGAGAAGGTATTCTCAGTCGAGATTTGTTTGAAAGTAAATAAAAACATCCATTAGCTTAGAGGAATGAGCATGAATTATTTATTTCATGCTCCGTTTAGACACGTTGCTTGTTACTACTACAGAATTTAAATTTTGATGAAAATCACTCATCCCTGATAAATTTGATCGTCTTGTGTTCTTTTGCATATGAACAAAAGCTAGGCATTCTGGGTACCACAACTGTATCTTTGAACCCTTATTCGCCTCTTTTCAACCATGTGATTACCTTTCCTGAAGGGAAAATGGATCTGCAATAAAGAATAGTTTGAGTAAAAAGTCATTAAAAAAGCATGTACTCAGTAGATTGACTATGTACTCTACAGGTACAGAATAAGTTTCTACATTACATGCAGTACTGTATACATAAATCCCCTCTCCTGGGTTGTTTGTGTGTTGCTGCAGCGATTAATAATGTCGTGACCGTCACACTTAACAGTGATTATAAAACATCAAAGACAAATCCTTCATTTCCCACAGCACAGAGGCAGATGATGCCAAGTGCCCTCTGTCTGGCCCGATGGGTACGACTGACAGGATTAACAGCATGTTGATCAGTACTGAGCTGTACAGAGACTTCAGGTGATTTTTGAATGGGAAGCACTCTGTCTGCAAGCTACATTTCCACAGGCATTCTGTAATGGTTTTTATGCTTTCCTTTATCTGCACAGACAGATCCAATATATGTGTGTGCAATTTTAAAGTTGATTTATATGTCTGGAGTCTTGAAGTGAACCAGTGTACCACACTCATTTTCCTAATTTGCAGCACTTAGACTAATGAGCAAGTAAAGCATTAATGCCCCGCCCCCCCACAACCCCTTTGCCTGGTTTGTTATGACTGTTTCCTTTTATAATAATAAGAGATAATTGTACTCACATTAATTGGTTAAAAATTCTGTAATACTTTTATTTAAACTGATATTGTCTAAATACTGTAGACTTAGTACGACAAGCAACCTTGTCCTTGTAAAAGAAACGAGCCTAGCAGTGGAGGGTTAGTGCTGTTCTTTCTGGAGAAAAAATAGCAATCCTTAGAATAAAAAGTCAACGCAAATTTGTTCACAACCAAACTCCCTAGATATTGACCTTTAAATCTCAAAACTCTAATAAGATAATTGCATGTATTGATTTTCTATCTGGTTGTATCCGACATTTAAGTGAAATCCAGTTGAAAGTAATCCAACATAGGAACACCTTAATAACATATTCTTCAGTCTGTCAGTGTATAAAGTTGGGTCTCTCCTTTCCTCTATTTTCTTTCAGGGGCCAGTGTGCTGAACTAGCAGAGCTGAACATGCTCCAAAGGGCTCACAGTCTTGAAACATATGGAGTCGACCCTCACCCATGCAAGGTAACGTAACTGGAGAATATATACAGTACACAGTAGCTTTACACATAATGGGTTACGCACTGATTTCCACACAGATGGCTTCATGTGGGTGTTATACTTTCCATGCACACAAGCATGTGCGTATCCACTTGTGTTCGTGTGATTTCGTCATCATAGGGTGTTGCGTGTTCCATAGACTGTATATAAAAGATGGATGTAGCCACCGTGTCATATGTTGATTAGTGAGCTCCCGTTCTAAAGCTTTGAGGTGAGTATTTTTGCCATCTAAAAAGCTAGTGCTGGATATGACTGTGAAACCACACATTCATTGACTAATAATTTCAGATGTACAGCTCAACAGCCAGTGAGTATAGTTTTCCCATTTTAATAATGACCATAAGTTTTTAGAAAAGAAAGTAATATTTTATTAAGTACAAGCTTAAACTAAGGGTTGAGCTCATAAAGTCACGAGAAAAGGGTTTGCTGAGCTGACAGAGCAAGAGAGCCAAGGGCTGTTTTCCCAAAGACTTGTATACACCCAGAAGTGTTTTTGCACCAACATGAGGCGCCCCCTGCTGGCCATTAAAAACTATGCACGTTTTAAGGCAATTATGCATTGGATGAACTTTTCAGATGCAAAAGCTACATTCATCTCTTTTGCACACAGTCTATGGTTGGGCCTGTGCAATTTGTTGTGACCTTATAGACAGATGGTACATACTGTATTTTATGGACAATCGCACCAGCTGTGCAGCTGGCAAAATTAACCAGCCCAGGACACAGATTAAGTAAGTGTCCAGATGAAAATATGGAGGTTTTGCAAGAAAATAATATTTTGCCGACAGCTGTCACCAATTAATAGCTCTCCACACTGGTAACCCACTGCTACTACTACTACACGAAAACACTGTTGCACACACGTGTTGCACCGACGCAAGCTAGCAATTCCGTAAACGTCTCTATTGCTCAAAAAAGAAACAGCTCCATCCAGTGGCGTGTCGCATTATAGCACCTGTCTACCTGGCCTCACATACTTGCTCCAAGCAGATTAGGAAATAATTTAAGGCCAAGAGCTTATGTGCAATTTACGCTATCACATCCAAGCCAGCTAGTTAATGTTCCCTCCTTGAAAACTAAATAAACTAGGTCCATAAAGAAGCCACTGTTCTGAGGACACAGTGACTTCACTGACTGATCAGAGACCACCATGGTTAGTCAGTGTCATTGATTTGTCTTTCAGCTTTAAATTGCTAAAACTAGACTGTACTATCAGATATGTTACACTTGCTATTCTGCTTCATTCTCCTGTTACTTGTTTCTTTGTTTCTTGTGCTATCACAATAGATTGAACAGACTGCATCTGATAAAGAAAAACAATATTTTACAACTTGCTCATGGCTCGCTCTCATCCTTTCTGTTCATCTTCTGCCAAGCTGAAGTGTGAAATAGGGACATCCTCTTGTGAACAGACAAATCAAAGGATACAAAGCAGATTAACAAGATATTTAAATTCTGTCTAGTGGGAAGGATCCCCTTTATCTGTTCCACTCTTGTCTGGCAGGCTTTTTTAAAATTAGTTTGCTGGAAATAGCTGTTACTGCAAGTACTGTACTATCATGCACATGCAGATCTATGGAGATAAAGTAAGTAAGCACTAAGATGTGGGAAGCACACAGGGGAAAGGGAGGGATTTACACAGATATATAGAGATGAATACAAATTTAGAGATTTACTGATGATTAATGATGTGGAAGTTATTATTTTGATTTTGCCTCACTACATCAGATTTAGTCCATCAGTCGGTATTTTAACTGCCTTGTTCTTGATTAATTAAAAAGTTTAATGACAAACATGGGATTTTGTGCATCAACCAATGAGGTCATAGATAGTCCACTTGCCTTACATGCTGTGATATGTGTTTTTTTCAGGACTTTACAGGCTCTACTGCCTTTCTTGGGTTCACAGCCACAGGTTTTGTGGTCTTCCAGGGAAACAAGAGGATTCACCTCCTCAAATGGTAAAAACATCAACCTGTAAAAAGCTTCTTTTGGCTGCTCCCTTAATCACAGGTTGTCAGCACAGCAGAAGGCTCCACATATTTGATTTGTTAGATTCTTACACCAGACGCCCTTCCCTTCACAGCATTTAACGGATTACCGTCTCCAGTCTCGAACTGGGAGTCTTTTGTATGCTGGGAAAAAAGCAAACCACTACAATGTGTAGCCACAATTGTCAATCATTAAACATAAATATTAAATGTCTAATCACTAACAAAGCTAACTGCAGAAAACTCTATATTTATGATTTATCGCTGAAGTATTGCTAAACTTATAATTTTTATTAGAAGCAAATTAAAATAATCATCTCTAACTTTTCCTTGCAGGCAGAACCGTTTGTTTATTTAAACACGACACCTATAAGATTATCTTGCTACAGAGTGTTAAAATACACTTTCCTATAGCCATGCTTTCCTTAAGCAGCAGTTGTAGTACCTCCATATTCATAGTTTTAAACAAAAGTTCATAAGAATAAGGAGAAAAATGTAGTTTATCTATCAAAAGTAATAAGAATTGATAGTGTTATTTTAAACTATGCACCATTGGTAATTAAACTGATAAAAACACACAATATTTTTTGAAATGAGCTATGTGTGTAAAAAATTTTTAAAAAAGAATATGAACGCAGCCCAACAAATGGCAGTGCAATGAACTTGCACTTAGCCTATATTTAACTCTCATCTGCAGATATTTCAAAGTCTTAACTCTGTGTTTGTTTGCAGGGCTGACGTTAGCAAGCTGAAGTTTGAAGGAAAAACCTTTTACGTCATTGGCATTCAGAAAGAGGTGAGCGAGGTGTCTCTAAAAGGTTAAAAATGATGACTCAAGTGAGATGTGTAGTTTCCTCCATGTCCTGATGATGAATTGTGCATTTTTGCACCAAAGTAATCAACATCCTGCTGACTTGTTAGATATAAACTTCTAACATGTGTTCATTACTTATTACAAAGGCAAATGTTGCACAGTCAGACTGCAGAATTTGAGATCAGTTGTGTGTTAGTGACTGTTTGCCAACCCTGAGCAAAACGGACGTCCTTCATTCTCTTTCCTCCTTCTTTCCTCCTTCTCCCTCCCCTTTTCCCCTATCCTCATCTGTGTAATGGTTTTGTCAGATAAATGTGCTAAGTGACTGTACTGTTTGTTATCCTGTCCACCATCACACACACTGTATATGTGTGTCGCTGTTTCAGATCTCCTTAACAGGCAGGATTCACTGTAACAGGATGGTGGGTGTGTTACAACCTCCTAATTCACATTATGTGCTGACTGTGGCCCAAATATTAGACTCCTTCTCTGCACCGCATCCCTAACAAAGATAAACTACAATATATGACACGGTGTCTCCAAACTGAAACAGAAAGCAAGTACTAACTTTCAAACAGCGGATGTCTTGCATTTGGGACACATGCTTCATCTGGTTGCTTGATGTTTATCAACCAACAGAGCTGTGGTAGATTCTGAGCAGCAGTTTCAGTGCCTCGTCTATCTGCATACTTTCTTTTTTCAGGATTTACAACCGATGTGCTCTTTACCTTCAGTCTGCCTGAAGCGGCTCAAAAACACCTGCAAATCCTTGCAGCTAAAGCCATTTTGCTCTTAAATCTACCAATCAGCCAATCGATGAGTGTCAAAGCTGTTGTCTTCATTACAGAAGCTCAGTTCCGCTCTTTCATCGCTGCTTAACTTGTCAGTCTGTCTGCCTTGTCTGTCTGTTCGGCTCCTCGTGAAAGGCTGAAGATGCACTATTATCTCTGTGTTTCTGTCTCTTCTCTCTGTGTGTAAACATAGTCATCTCTGGTGAGTAAATACAAGTAAAAACAGTAGTGCAAATCGTTGTTGTATTTAAGTCCTCAATTTGACACCTTTACCCGCAGCCCTGCCCTCGCCTCACTTTATGATTGGAGGAACCTTTTATCCATGTTTTATTTCTTTTTTCATGATATTGTCATTAAGTGTTGTTTGTCTGGTGTGTTATATAAAAGTTCTCTCTGCTCTCATTTCATATGATCGCAGTTCTTCTGTGGCTTCCGTCCCCGTCTTGTTCACCATGTAATCAAATTCACCCTCTGACTTCCAGTGAACTATAGATTAACATGCAATGTTTCGCTGCTTAATCTATAACTCTATCCATGCCTCATTCATCTCATTCAATTTTTTCATAACCGTTTCATCCTTTTGACTGTGTGGGTGTGTGTGTGTTTTATTTATGTGAGGATTTGTGTGTTGATGCTTGTTTCCTGAATTTTCCACCATGTGGCAGGTCACTCCTCACTCTTCCCTCTCCTCTGATTACCCAAACCTACCTGTCCCACTTTGAGCTGATTGCAGGTTATATAGATGAAACACTTTTATGAGATCAAAGTCACAAATTCTTGGTCAGTTTCTTTTTGGCTGACTCAACAGTTAACTCCTAACACACAAGCATGGCTTACCCTGTGCATGGACCTCAGTTTCATAATCAGCTGTGATATGTAAAGAACAAAAAAGACTTACTTCAGTTTTCAAGGTTAGCTCAACTACTGTACATCAAATCCCATTTGATTCAATTTGTTTGGATGAGCAGTTCTAGAAAAACCTTTTTTCCCCAAACAAGCGTGTTTTTGAACAACCCATCTGCCACTCGGTCAGGTGTCACAACACACCGGTGAACGCACAGCAACGACCGCATAGGTTCTGCTGATGCAGGACGCCGCCCTGCTGTGCGTTCATGCATGTCTGAAAAGCATGTTGCAGAGAAGTGGTTGCAGCTGTAAAAGGCTGTATTTGAACCACGATCGTGATCTTTTAATAAACCTAATTGGTCCTTTACTGTAGGCACACAGAGTAAATAGCATCATCTTTATTGTAGTTAAATACATTTCTGACATCTGAGTTGATTTTTACGTTTTAGAATGTACAACTTCCCCTCAGTGGATGATTTTTTTCAATTAACTCTTTTTTTTCCCCCAAAAAAAATCCAAGTCAGCGCTTTTGCACGTCAGCCAAAGTGGGACCAAAGGCAGATTAACACGCAGTCCTGGTGCCTTCACACACCTGTGAACACACACATGGCAACTGAAGCACATGTGTGTAAATCACACCTGCATACCTAATATAACTGATATGTGACAGTTTGGGGGCTGCGCAATATAGCTGATGAAGTGGGCACAGACTGGACCCTTTCACTGCTGTCAACTTAACAGTGAAGTGTTTTTTATTTTAACAGACACTTATAGCGGTATAATATCATATTCTGTTACAGTATCTCATTCTCATGTTATTGATTTCATTGCTTCGTCTCTGCCTCTATCCTCTTTGCTGAACAGTATTGATCTGGCGTCCCACGTTCCCAGACTTGCAGAGCCAGAGACTAGATGTTTCCGGGAATAAATCTCTCCTCTTAGTCCATAAAAACCCATGTTCTGCAAGGTAGAAGCCTTTTAATGCTGAGCACTGTGACCGAATGACTTTATCTTGCCAAGCTTACAGCTTAGGGTCTGTGGGTCAGCATTTTGCACAGCTCCCTCACATTACGTTCAGCTCTTTTCTTGTCCTTATTCACAGTTTTTTCTTTTCCAGTAAGCTCATTTCTCATCCTCACTGTCACTCTTTCTGTCTTTGTCCTTTTCTGTGTAGAAGAAGCTGGTGTTGACATTTCACACCTCGACCCCTGCAGCGTGTAAGCACTTATGGAAGTGCGGGGTGGAGAACCAGGCCTTTTACAAGTACGTCTGCACACACACAAACACGCACACAAATTCATTTTTATTTTTATTGAGTTCTTCCTGTAACTGCTGAGACTGTGCAGGATCAGCTTACACCAAAACCCCGAATCCAGTAGGAACGTTTTGAGCTCTTATATCGAGCCAAGATTTTGCTTCACTTTAAAACCGACTTAATTTTAGCACATTATCTCCTTAATTTACTCCCAGTACTGCAAGGACATGTCGTCGTCCTTCACTGGGGAGCAGCTGATTGCTCCAAGGCCATTGATCTCATCTGCAAAGACTATTGACCCCACTGGCACGGAGCGGAGGGAAGGGAAACAAGGTTCATGACAAGACAAGATGCTAACATCTATGTTCATTAATGTAATCGAGAATCAAATATAGTGGGCAAGCACAACAGATCTGCTCCTTTTTGTCAATCCCAGTTGAGTGAGAATATGAGGAGAGCAGACTGATGAATATAAAACAACCGAGATGGAAAAACACAAGAGGATGTCACATCTGCAATGTAAAATTTGCACAAAATAACAACCCAGGATGTTCAAGAGATCCTGAACCGTTCATCTTTTCCTATCAGCTTCACACTTATTCATCATTCCTCAACCAAGATGGCTATTCTTCATTTAAGGTTGTTCCTGAGCTTGATATTAGCAGTTGGATCTTTTGCTCATGTCTGAGAAGATGAGCCGTGTGAAAAGAAAAGGAAGAGGCACCAAACAGCAAAGTGCGTGTGGGCGTGGAGGGGGATAAGAAGGCTCAGCGGCTCTGAACAGCTGGTCTCATTTGATGGAGAGAGGTCAGGCTGGAGGAGATGAGATTTTCCAAAGGTTTGACGCAAGAACTGGAGGCTGCTTTGTGACGGATTTCTCTACGGTGGCCTTCCTCCTCCACACTGTCAGTCAATCTGAAGGTCTCCCGCTCTCTCTTAACTGCAGGCATTGTTCACTTTTCACATGCTTTTCTCTCTGCCTTGCTTTATTTTATCAAGAGGCACCATACATGCAGACAATCTTACAAAAGGAAGACATCGTTATGAATTTGTAAAATAGCCCTTGCTCCATACAACCCTGAATACTGACTTCCTAATGACAGCAGCTCATGTGTCTCTAAAAGGCGGACTGAGATGGAGTGGATGTCAGCTCGGATGTCAGACAAGCATCAGAGCCGCTAAATCAAATCAGAGTGAATTGAGTTTGTGAACGGCAGCCAAGCAGAGCTTTTCCAGCATATGGTGTCTCGTGCACGAAGGAGCGCAGACATGTGTGTGTGTGTGCTCTAGCTCCTTCTCTGCTGCACTGGAGTCTGGTTTCACATGATAAATTATATAGAATGAAACATGAAGGTTTGACCTCCAGCCATAAGCTTTTAAAAAGACACACCGTGCTGTAAGCTTGTTGAGAGGCTACTCTGTGTTCTGCGAGAAAAAAAATTAGTGAAACATTACTGTGATGAGAGTTTGAGCCTTTAAAAATCTGTTATTCTGCTACGACATGTGTTAGTCTGGGTTCAGTGTGCAAGGCTGCTGTACACGTAATGTGTCTCTTTTTGTTTCTTCCTTTCTTTGTCTGACAGGTGTGCAAAGTCAAGTCAGATAAAAACAGTTTCCAGCAGTAATATCTTCTTCAAAGGCAGCAGGTTCAGATACAGGTGAGGTGTATTATATGATTAAAGAAATCATAAGGAATATGTGCCAAGAGAATTGGGAACAACAGAGACGAGGGGGGTATGGTACATTTCAAGCACTGAAATGTTAAGAGTTAATTTTGTGTAAAAGTGTACAGAGTGTTTCGGTCCTGCACATTGTCACCTTACTCTTTACTAACAGCAGCATCATCTTACCCCATGCATTTGTTGCCAAAGTGACAAAAATGGATGGAAAATTAGATCATCAAGACACCAAATAACCAAGATGGGAGTTCTCGTCATTGCACATCAGCACCTACATCCCGGTTTCTATGATTTACTGACTCTAATATCACCGGAAAGCTTCTATATACTCTGTTATTGAAGCTAAGTGAGCCGTGATTCTCCTCTCAGACAAAGCTCTTTACCAGGCTTACACTTCAGCCTGCCCCATTTCATCAGCTCGCTGAAGCATTTTGGCTTAAGGGCTCAGCGATGAGTAATAGCATATGGTGGAATTTGTTCTGAAAAATGGGAATTGGTCATTTGTGCAAAACAGGACTGAGATTTGTATCCCATAAATGAAGGCAGTTTATGCAAAGCCGAGCAGATCGGGTCTTCACATAATGTGTGTTGATCCAGCTGATTCCAGTATTTCCACCAGTGCTGATGCCACTGTCTCTTGAGATATGAAGTGCGTATGTTTTATATCACCCCCTAATTTATGACTTAAACATCAGTCTAAACAACAATAGATTAATGGGTAAGATGAAGAAGCCTGCTGGCTTTAAACAGTGCAGTTACAGTCTGACTAATGAAGCTGCCGACTGATGGCAGGAAACTGTCTGCTCAACAGGAACAACACTGAATGTAAGCCGAGTAGCATCAAATCTGATTTTCTCCTTTTCTTTTATGACATGAAGCAATCGGTGTAACTCAGACATACTGTCCGTGAAATTATAGTAGCACATTAAAAAACAAAAAATGCTCATGGGAAACTCTGCATTCATATGAAAAACTGCAAAGACCCTTGCTGCATTAATAGAAATTAAGAGTATACAGTAAGTAGCAGCCAAGTGCTGCTATTCAAATGCACTTCATTAACTGAATGATTACTTCAAGTAAAACTCATTCGAGACATTCTCAGGAGGGGACATCCCAGAAAATTCACCCCAAGGTCAGGTCGTGCAGTGCTCAGAGAAACTCAGACTCTATAGAACTCAGTTAGCATGTTAAATGCTAAAGTTCGCAACAGTACATTTAGATAACAACTGAACAAGTGTGGCTAGGTGGATTCTTAGGAGAAAGTCTCTTCTTTCTAACAACAAGGCAGCACAGCTTAGGTGTTCAAAATTATATCTGTCCAAAAAATAAGACTTTTGGAACAATGTGCTTTGGACAGATCAAAGTCAAAGTGGACCGAATTTCAGCACAAACTGTGATGCATGGTAGTATACTCATATGGAAAAGATATATATAAATCTTATAACGTTTGTATCTGTCTTGTGTGAAACTTGTATGAAAAGCGTACAAGAGTGAAAACAGATATAAGATCCCTTGAAAAATTCTAGAAATGAAACTTGTATGTTTTGGATACTTAATAAAACAATATATGAAAGTAATGAGAAAGTGGCCACTTTCATGAGTAAATCATATAAGCCTTATATGATTCACTATATGAAGTAGGCCACATCTTATGCAAGTGTTTTATAAGTTTTTACTATTTCTTTTCCATATGGGTAGGGTTGATGATATGGGCTTAATTTGTAGCCACAGGACCTCTACATTTGCAGCCGTTGAGCCGACCATAAACTCCTTTGCACACTAAAGATTTCTAGATTCAAATGTGAGGCTGTCTATCAAACAACTTGGATCAATATGACAATGATCCCAAGCAACTGCAACAGACTGTCTGAAAAAGGAATGATTCGAGGCGTTGCAATGGTCCAGTCAAAGTCTGGACCTCAAACCGACTGCAATGCTGTGATGGGACCTTAAGAGAGCTGCGCATAAACAAATACCTGTGATGTGAGAGACTTATAGAACAGACATATAGAAAATTATTACTTCATATTATTGTTGCAAAAGGTGGTTCTACAAGCTACTGCTTATTTTTTCAGACGATAGCATAGAGTGAACTTATTCATATTACTGTCACAAAGGGCCTCGGGAGGTTTGTATAGTTCTACAAATATGCATGTAAATGAAAAGCAGTACATTTTTTACAGACCTGCCTATAGGGAGACTAATGACCTGCCATCGTAACATTTTATTTTCAATTACAGTATTTTTATAAACACAAACCAACCTTTAACTTATGTGTTTTTCTGTGTTAGTGGCAGAGTAGCCAAGGAAGTGATAGAAGCCAGCTCCAAAATTCAGAGAGAGCCACCAGAAGTGCGCAGGTAAGGACATCTGAGAAATTACCTGAAGTCACACTATTTCATATAAAACATAAAATAAGGACAATTTCATCTATTGTTCTGCAGATATGAATACCAGAGTGCACATGGTGGTGTTATGTAAGGGTGTTAAAAAATGTATGACGTTCATGTTTTTCAGAGCTCAGTTTGGTCAGAGTCGAAGTTTTAACTCTCTGAGCCATAAAAATCTCATCATGAACATGGAACCTTTGGTACCTGCACTGCCCTCCACCAACGAATACGAAGAGACGGCCGTAGACAGTGGTAGGAGGATACTGCTTACTACAGACCCAAATACACACAACAGACATGCACTCATGCCCCTCTAAGAGACATTTGTGAAGTCACATGGGATCTTCCTTGTGTAGGAAGAAATCCATGCACAAAACTCAGAGAGAGAGAGCTTTAATTGAGCAGCTGATGCTCCCATCTCGCCATCAATCCTGTCTCCCTGGTGACCAATTGCGACATACTAAAAATACCCTCTCATGATCCCCGCTAAGGATCCCACTATAATTCTGACTGTCAGTTTTTCCATGTGTCTGCACCTTTGTGTGTTTTTGCAGACTAAGATTCCATTTTTCCTACTCAGACATAAAAGGCTGATGGGGTGTAGATGTCACCCTGCCGGGCAGGCTGCACATACACAGAAGTTTTTAAATGAAAACTGATACCATAGATGCATCTACAAATAATCTTAGTAACCTCCACCTCAAGGTCAGAGGTCAAGTTTTCTTAAAATCTTATGAATGCGATAACTCGAGAAGAAAGTGACCTAGGATTTTCAAATGGATAAAATAGGTGCATCGGCTAAATATCTAGGATGAGTTTGAATCGCGGTGACCTTGACCTAGAGGTCAAAGGTCAGAGTTCAAGTTTTTGAAAATCTCCTTTGATCTCAATCTCATTTCTCACAGCATTTTCTTTGTGTACTTCACACATTACAATAACCTGTTTTCATGTTTTCAAACCACGGATAGTGCCTGAGTCCTGTCTTCACTTAGCTGCTGTTGATTAGAGGATTAAAACTCTTGGTCAAAACACTGTTGTGGATGAAGAACGATTTGATGCTCATTTTACCCTCAGTTAAAATTATATCCATCCAGCCAGGCACGTCTCTTCCATCGCCTCAGAGCTTCTCCTCTCCTTCAGTCAGTATTTTTCACCTCTCCTGTCCTCACCTTTAATCCACCTGAACCACATTCGTTAGGTTCTCAAACATGTACAGTGCAGTCATGCTGTTGCACCATCACTGTCTACAAATTATTTATAGACTTCATCGCTTTCTCTCATGCCTTTTTTTGACAGATTTTAAGGTCACTCCGTCGTTTTATCCACCTCTATTCTTCTTTGTTGCTTGCCTCTGTTTTTCACTCATCTCCCTTCATCCCATTTACAGGAAAATCAATTCTTTTTTGGCTCGGGGTCAAAGACCTGCAGTAGAAACCATCTCGGCTGTCTCAGCTGGTTTGGGCGGGACAGTAGGCCAAATAAAGGGCCTTGTACAGGATACAGGCTGAGTAAATAACATAAGATTAAATTTGAAAATGCCTTGTTTTCTTCTGCAGTTCCTGCCTTTCCCTCTGGTAATAAGATATTAAGTGATATAGTTGTAAATTATTTTAAAACATTAGAGGTTTAACAGTAAATATAATAAACTGAAGAGTTTACAAGAAAAAAGACATTTTAAAAAGAGATGAAGACATAGATTGTTCAAATTAAGATTTTTAAATATTCATGTATTGTCAGACTCACAATATGCATGAAAAATGTAGAAAGAGAATTTGAGAGAGCACTTCTTAACACAGGCGTCTTAATGCGAAGCAGGTACGCACATGAGCCCGTGCTGTAGTCCTCCTCCCACAAGTTTCCAACATTGCATATGGGAGTTTATAGAAGCTTTTTTTCCTCACTGACAAAAAAAAAAGATGCTGAGTAGAGCTAAGTTTAAATGTCAATTTATTATTAAAAATGAATTACATTCAAATTTCAACTTCACCATTTGCATGTGAGTTTTCGATGGTATCATATTTGCTGCATCTGGCTTTTTTTTTTTTTGAATTTATTGCTTTAAATATTTGTTTTGCCATTTATTTAGGTTTTTTGTGCTAATGTTGTGGAGCTATAAAAAACTCATCAAAATTAATTCAATTCAATTCCATTAAATTTTATTTAAAAAGCACCAAATCACAACAACAATTGCCTCATGGTGCTTTATGTTGAAAGTCAAGACTCTACAATAATACAAAGATAACATGTGACAGGAAGCCAGTATAGGAAATATGCTCTGTCTTGCACCTGGCATTAAGGAGTTAATAAGTAAAAATTTTTAGATAATAACCTGAAATGTGACTAATCGATGGCAGGAAAAAAAAGGAGAAAGAAAACAAGCTTCCATGGGAGTCAGATGAGAGTTATGTGATTTGAGAGTTTAATTACGTTGCATGCTTTCACCCAACCGATGTGATTGGACGACACATCACTGTTTCATGAGCTGATTCTGCTAAGGTGGCTGACGCAAGGACTTTAAGATAAAGTGTCCCCAAGATGGTTTAGGGTCACAGTCTATATTCAGAGCACTAATCTCAGCCTTTACTGGGGAAACAGGAAGCTGACCCAAGGTCATAGCTGACCTTGTTCTGTTTGTACAGTTTGCTCCCTACTTATCTACCACAATCCAAACGCATACACTCTGGCTATGTTTTCTCTAGGAACATCATTAATGGATGTTTTATAGCCATCAGGCTTCATATTTCCGCCTCACAATCCATGTTTTTGCAGCAGTTAATGCAGCATGTGATCCAACAAAATCTTTCATTTTCAGTCTCACAGCGAGGCGAGTATTGTAGTGAATAAAGTTGGATTGTACCCAGTTTGCTGTAGAATTGGAATTAGGTTTATTTTATTGGTGGAAAGACTCAGATAAAGACAGGGTTGCAGAGAGGAAAAGAAAATGATCCCCCATCCCGTCCTGAGTCAGGCCTGTCCCCCTGTAATCAGTTAGATTAGCTGCCCCTTTGCCACCAGGACCACCTGGTTATATTTAGAAATTGCAGCTTTGGGCCTGATCCTCCTCTAATGCCCCCTCCACTCTTTGTTACCATCGCTGACATTCACAGGAGGGCCCACCATGTCTGTGCAGGAGCGAGAGAGAGAGAGAGAGAGAGAGAGAGAGAGAATGTCTCTGGTGCACTGGTGTGTCTCTCACCATCTCTATAAGTGTTTGTGTATAGGCGTGCGTGTGTTGGAGCTCAGCTGGCAGCCCAGTCAGTCAGGGTCTTTGTGCAGACAGCTGGTCCGGCTTTTGTCATCAAACTGAATGATGGAGCTTCTAGGGCACAGAAACAGCAGTGATGTTGGAGGCAGCCTCGTGCAGGGTAGTTTGGAACTGGGCGACGGTCCTGGTGTCGACAACACCCAGAATTACGGGAGCGAAATAGGGGGACTCGAACTCGACATGACACCAGAGAGGCTGCGGGAAGAAGGGATGAAGCAGAGAGAGGTTGGAGCTCTTGAAGTATTCCACCCAGGAGAGGCTGAAGATGAGCAAGACTCATCGATAGTAGTGGCTGAGGCCTTGAGGTGCCAGGTGAAGATAACAACCAGGCGAAGCCTCCACCTACGTATAGCCAATCACACAAGACGGGATGTCTATGTGCGACTGGTGGGCAATGGGGGTCGCATCGCTGGATTCAGTACTGGACCTCAGAGAAAAATACTGGAAGAGAGTAAGCCAAGTGGAAAAGGTCACTGTGTGAAGTTTCTTTTAGCTCCTAATAAATGTATCCTTTGACATTTTTTCCCACAGTCTAACCAGGAGGTAAACGCCTTTTAAATTTGTGAGCCTGGTAGCTCAGCAGTTAGTTGCCAGGTCTGTTGTGGCAACCGCCTGATGCAAACTGTGAATGTAAGCTGCCAAACATGGGACTCTCAAGAGGCTGCTTTAATAGAAGTGTGCATGTGTGCATAGTTTAAGTATTACTCATGTTATGCGGACTTGATTTTGTCCCCATAACATTAAACATCTGGGTACCCAGAAGTAAATCATGAAATAGGGTTAGAATTAGGTCAGGTTGAAGTTAGGGTTATTGTTGAGGATCTAGTGGTACGATTAAATCTTCAGCTGCTCTTCACACCACTAGAAATACTAAATGTGGCTCGTGTGAAAAGTGTGCTGGATGGAGCGCGTGGGAGGCAGCATATATGACACCCACTCGTTAGCTGTAAATTTACAGATCATTACCTTCTCTCTTCTTACATCTGCGCAATGTGATGTCACAGGGGCTCTGTGCATCCTGAGGACCTGACTGGTTAAAGACTGGACATTTGCATCTGACATTTACTTCTGCTGGATCATATCTGCTAAAGTTTATCACCCTGCTCTGCATATTTACAACCTTAAATGAAATGATGATTAAGCAGATGGGTCAAGATAAGGCACTTTAAATATTTGATTAGTAGATTTGGGAATAAGTTTAAATGAATTAAATGATTAAGTTAAATTAGTAAATAGTGAAGGATTAACAAAAGCACAAGTACTGATTTTTTTTAATGATAATGCTTAATAATTTTAGTTTTACTCCACCTATCTTTATCCCACTGGCTAAAATATCCTTTGAGCTTCATCAGTGATCCTATAAACAATTGACATGCAGATGAAAGACAAAGCAATTCCCTCATTTACAGACACAGTGAGAAAGAATTATTGCTAACCTATTATATTTCAGCATTTTCGATGCCAAAAGATGTATTCTCATCATGAAAGACTGCAATCAGTTATGCACTCATGTGCGTTTAGCTGACTTAACAAAGTTATATCACTTTCACAAATCGGCGATGATTTTGGTTGAAAAGTAGATTTTATAATTCGACTGATGAAGCTGTAATCCTTCAAACAGCTCAAAAATTGAGCTTA